GCTATAATTATTATTCTTCGTGTGACTAACTAAGCTCACCGCTTCACGACAGTTAATTTCCTTTAAAAAAAAAAAACTCAAAAGTTCTTGTATATCAAATTCTTTTTCCGATTTCCGACATCGATTGAATTCAAAATTTAGTTCTTCTGGAAGCTTCTGCTGAATAATTGGGCATAGTAAATTTCCATAACTTCCCGCAGTTACATTTAATGATGACAGACTTCGTAATTGAATTTGACATTCATCGTATAGTCTTCTTAGAGCTTTTAAGTTGGAAACATTTCGAATAGGTTCAATAGCGAGAAGTTTCGTCATATGAGAGCTTATCACAAGTGTCCGTTCTTCCAAAACACTCTTTCAGAATCTCGATAGAGGAATCATAATTCTGATCACTAATGGCAAATCCAGATACAGATGCGAGAGCGCTTCCTCCAACCAAAGATTTCAAATATGCAAATTTTTAAGTCTTTCGTAATTCGTTGTTGTTATGAATAGCTGTTTCAAATTGATTATAAAATTCCAACCACTTGGTAGAATCTCCGTAAAATGTTCCTATTTGCAGACGAGGTAGGTTCATTATTTTTGATTCAGTTTTAACAACAACAGTTTCGTTTCTATCACTTTCGATATTAATTTTTGAATTAGAAGAACATCGATTTAAAAATCTCTGAATCCTCCCTTTCCATGTCACTATTTTTTCTTGATATTCTTGGCAGGTGTTTATTTCGCTTTCGAACTCCTGTTTAGCAACAGTGTATTCCAGTTTTTCATCCAATTGTTTTAATTCCATCATTTTTGCATTCAGTTGCTCACTTAAATCCAATAAAAGTTTTGCTTTTTCAGCATCCTGCGATTCATCTGCCAAACTCGCTTCAATTTTCGATATTAATTTCGCAGTCTTACCACAGTTCGTTTCCTTTTTTGATTCCGTAACATTTCTTTCGTAGTCATAGTCTTAAACTAATTTATCCAAGCATTCTTCCAAAAATTTTCTATTCCATCTAAAGGTCCCTGGTTCGATCCCGGGTTTCGGCACCATGTCAAATTTGTACTCTAAAGAAAGTTGGATATCCAAAATAAACATGATTCCAGAGAAACGAACACAACGTTTATTTCATATGAACAGCACAAGAGGGAATAAAAATATAACAAATAGGAGAAAGAAAATAATTGGCGCAGCGCCATCTATGGATATAACTTTACATGAATTTTAGACATTATTTAATTACTGTAGTTCCCCTTAATAACTACCCCTTACCCCTTAATAACTAAACATTTTTCAAAAAATAAAGTGTATTTTTTCATGCTTTTTTACCAAAAGAAGCATGCGCTGTAAAATTTAAAAAAAAAAAAAAAAAAAAAAAAAAAAAAAAACAGCAGAATGAACTACTGTTTTTTTTAAAAATTTTTTAATTTAAATTGATATTTTGAATAAAACAAATTACCATCGTTCTAGAAAATAATTAACTCTACGTCTCTTAAAATAAACCGATAACTATTATTTTAAGTGGAAAATTACTATCGTTCTAGAAAATAATTTACTCGATGTTTTTAAAAATAAGCCGATAACTAATATTTTGAATAAAACAATTACTGTCATTTTAGAAAACAATTAACTCTATGTGTTTTAAAATGAGCCGATAACTGTAAGGTTAAGGCAATAAATGGCAATTCATGACATTAATGGTAATTATGTTCTAATGAAGAACTTTTCAGCTACGTTTATCCATCCTCTTCAGAGCTAGGGACAGACGTAATTTCTTCAGTAGATCTTGTTAAAATATTAGTTTTTCAGTTATTATGGGACGCATTGCTTCTTACCATTCTATTATAGTCATTTTGATCCAATTGTTGGAAGATGTGGATGGAATGTTAAGGAACTCTACAGTAGTAACTTCCATCTTACCAATAGGGGTATTCCTCGAACCTAACTCTTTATAATTTATTTAGAAACTGTCTGAAAACTAAAAAAAGAACATTTTTGTTTGAAAACACAGCTAGCATTAAGATCTAAATGAATGCCATAATTTACTTGAAGTAAATTAGAAATAAGAATTATAGAATAAAAAAGTTAAATTTTTTTCAAGAATGCAGGAAATTAACGGTGGAATTTTATATTTACAAATAGAGGCTATTTTCGAAATGGAGTTGCATTTAGAAAATTTATTCTTAAATAATATATAACCTTATAATATATATATANGATTGGTTCGAGGAACATTCCAGTGACTTTCAAGTCATGTCTTGACCCCCAAATTCATCTGACCTTAATCCAATGGAGCATTTATGGTCCTAATTGGAAAACCAAATTTCGTGCTGCCACGCTACCCCTCGCAATGTGAGGGAATTGCAGGACCAGTTGGTGAGCGCTTGGTACCAGATACCTCAGACTACCTATCAGCACCTTGTGGAATCAATGCCACGGCGGGTGCGAGCAGTTTTGAGGGATAAAGGTGGTCCTGCATGTTATTAGCAGGGTGGTCATAACGAAATTGCTCTTCGGTGTATATATATATATATATATATCTATATAGATAGCTATAGATATATATTATTTTATGTTCCAAATCAAAAAGTGTAATCAAAAGTGTTTTAATGAATTATTTATTTTTGATGTTCGATATTAAGTTATCACAAGTCAATAATATTGTTAAGCATGTTGATGACGTCACCGAATTCTTCGAATTTTATATTTTCGCATTTGAAACCACGTGTTTCTTATATGGATACTTATGTTTTAAAGCTTGTCTCCACCAATCAGAACTAATAAAATAAAACTGAAGTTATATTATAAGACATGGGAAAATTGTATTAAATTTTGACTGTCATTTGTGAAACGTTACTCTACAGTTGTAATCTCTTGGTGACTACTAATTTTCGAGATTTACAAATAATTAACTTTGATAATAGGTACAAATTTAAATCAAAAAATTGTTTTAAAAACTTAATTAATGGAGAAAAGGTACTCATACATTTACGAAAATCGTAAAAAAAAATACCATAGAGTTATTGATGCTAATGATACTTAACTAATTTTGGTAATAAGTACTACTTTTCACAATTGGTGCTTTTTTAATATGTACTAAATGTACTAATATTGATATTAAGATACTTACTGTAGGTACGGTAGAAAAAAGTTTCTTACCGACCAATTAAAGGAATAAGTACCAGAGGAGATTGTTAATTATGTTAATTTTTTACTATCGACTGTGGTTGATATCGAGTTAGAGCATTATGCATAATGATACTGAATATAGTTGATTTTTTATGGGATCTTTTAAAAACAAGTCACAAAAGGTACTAATAAAAGCAAAACAAAAGACACTAAGAAAGGCAAATAAATAATATTTTTTTACACTTTATTTTTTAATATTGTTTGGTTAAGTTATTAATTTGTTTTCTAATGCGACATTTCCCCTTTGTCAATACAAAAAATTAATTCGTTTTTCACGTGTGTAATAATGCGTATTTCAATATTTATTTTGTGTTTCACTACTTCTGCCTTATATTTTACAACCTTTATAATTTATTTTACCTTTATTCAATGTCTCTTGAATTACATACATGCAAATATATTAGGGTTTCTATTCAAAGAGATTTTGACCAACTCAATCACCCCTTAAATAGAGAGTCTCGTATATTAAGAGTTGTCACCTACAGAAAGTACTACTGTACTTGTTATTTTTTAAACTTTTTTTCATTTGTCGAACTATTTTGCTTCATCTGATAATATCAATGAAAAATTGACAAAAAGAAAAGTCACTAAAATTTGAAAGCAATAATGCATGCAAGTAAAAGTGCAACATAATACAAAGTATAGCTAGTAATGCAATCCTTGTTTAGTATTGTATGCTATTTTTGAGAAACTATAGCGCTGCAATTCGAAGTACATAATTTTGAAAACTAATTGATCCTACAATAAGGAGTTTTATTGCTCCTGCTTTAATGATTTTGAAAGTCAAATTACAAAACAGCTCAAGAAGTGCAGAGAGTGCAAAAAAGAGTATCAAGATGGTCAACGTATTTCTCCTCCAAATAAAATTATTTTGGAACGCAAGCTGTAATAGCAACTCTATCAGTATTGTTAAAAAAATGATTAACGTGGCTTCCGAGCAACTTTAAAGCTTTTATTAAGAAGTAATGGTTGCTCCAACAATATCGAAAGTATATAAGTGGCAGGCACAGTTACACTATTTCACTTCTATCTTAATAATTTTGATAATTGTGTAACACAACTCAAGTAGTAGAGAAATAAACTTTTGCAGAAAGTGCAAAAAGTGTCGAGATGATCAACGTGTTTGTCGACCTATTAAAATGATTTTGAAATGCAAGTGGTAATAGCAAATTAATAGGTATCTTTGATCACGATAATCAACGTGATTTCAGAGCAGCTTCAATGATTTTTAAAGCTGTAATACTTACTCCAACAGTATCGAAAGTACAAAAAGTGGCTGGAATAATTGCGTGATTTTCCGCCAGTTTTAATGAGTTTTAACTTTAAAAACCTTTTTTGATGATCATAGTATGTGATTTTGATATAGTGTGTTAGAAGTTTTGTTCCAGGCTTAAATTAAGACGGATCAAAATTGATTTCTGCACGACAGAATTTAGTTTTTGTATTAGTTTATTTTCTATACAGTACATTTTTCGCTCGTTATTTTAATCATAAATAGTTTATTCGTCGTTTCGTTTTAATATTTTGGTTTTCATGTATGCTCAGCATATATTAAAACTCATTTATATCTTAGTTTTAAGTTTACAAATTTAATTTTTACAAATGATCTTATTTTATTCCCTGCCATGAACAGTTGATCCTTATCTGATTGCACCAATCAATGAAAGGGATTGCAACTATCAATGGAATGGATTGCAACTGTACTCCTTAACCTCACAATTTTGAATTCAACCTATATAACGCATTTGTTTTACAAAGAAGGGAAAACCACACACACAAAAACAAGCAAACCATTTTATGAAAAGTGTGGGGTTGGTACACTTACTCGGTCCTACATATGCCACACACTCACTTTGCTTCGCATCAGTTACTTCATATTGTTGTAGGCTGTAGAAGTCATCTGTAGTGTAATTGTCGAGAGTCCATTTCAAAACAACATTTCTGCTCGCAAAGCTTGCTAAGAATTTAAAAAAAAAATAAACACTTGAAATAACTTAATTAAAAATGTGAAGGAAATGTTAATCTTTGTGATAATATTGCGCACATTTATACAAAATTTATTTCTATATCCATTTACAATTTATATAATTGTGCGATTTGAAAATGAAATATTTTAATTAAAAAAATTAAATTAATTATGACTGTGAAAGGACTAGCAAACTTGGGAATTTTAAAAAGCTGTATGCTGATGAATTTAAGTGTTATTTGACATAATCTATTTTATTTCTCAATACATGATTATTTAACTATTTCTTGTTATTATTTTTTCTTTTTAAGGAATTGATTCTAATTTTAAAACAAAACAAAAACATTATCACTGATCAAAAAAATTTGGAGATATTATGTTTTTGAACACAGACTACTTGTATGTAAATGTTTTGGTGACTGGTATTTTCAGCATTTTCTCAATATTTTAACATGTATATATATATATATATATATATACAGAGGAACCTCTTTAAGAAGTTTCCGCTTAAAAAGTTTTCCCACGTAATAAGTTATAATTTTCACGAGCTTCAAATTTTCTTCATTTTTTTTACTTTATATTTAAAATGTCTTATCTAGTTTTTCCTTTCTGTGACAAAAACAGTTAAGTTGACTATGCAAAATTAACAAAGACCACGGACCTTCCTTGCTCCTCCATACACAAAAGAAGGTGATGCATCAGGAGCAGGTGTGAGCAAAGAAATGTGAACCTTCAGATGAACAATGAAACTGATAAGAATTTNATTATATACGAGGGTTGTAAATTAAATAGTGGCAACTTAACCTTGAAACTCACAAAAGGGCGGGCATGTGCAAATAGGATATGGGAGCGATGAGGTGGTGCTGCTGCCGATGTGTAGAGTGCAAAAAAACAGTCAATCTGCTTAGAGGGGTAGTTGTTGTACAGCGTTAAAGTGAGGAGTTTCGTTTCCATCGCTCTAAAGCATGTTTTCTAATGGCTTAATGACGAAAAAAGACGAGATGCTTGAACCCATCGTGCTACTGTCCTATACGGTAAAGCATTTGCGCTACAGGCTTCCACTAATCCTCGATAGCATTCTGTTGCATTTTTGCCACGGGCAACCTCGATTTTAAGCCACGACCGCTAATCACCTTTTGAAAACATGGTTTAGAGCGATGGAAACAAAACTCATCACTTTAACGCCACACAACAACTACCCTTCTAAGCAGATCGACTGTTTTTTGCACTCTACACGTCGACAACAGCGCCACCTCACCGCTCCCATATCCCATTTGCGCATGCCCACCCTTCTGTGAGTTTCAAGGCTAAATTGCCACTATTTAATTTACAACCCTCGTATTAAGCGTTAGCGATAAAACGATACATTTATAAACAATTTGCGAGTATAAACAATTTGCGAGCTAAGAAACCAAAACGAAAATTTTGTTGATTTGCACAACTGCTATTTTTTATTAATTGTTATTTGTTTTGTTAATTCTTGTTTATTTTTATACATAACTTGTTGAGATCTTAATGCAGGTTTGAATACTGATAAAAAACCGATTTATAATTTACAGGAATTTTAAGGTGAAAGTACAAGCCATTCATGTGAATAAAAATACGGATCAAGAATAAATTCCTAAAACAAATTTTTAATTAGGATCAAGATTACTTGAAAATGGCAAAAAATTAGTTCTCGATAGTTAATCAATATTTAAGGCTTTAACATCAATTAATCTAAACAATGCCTTCTTTATTCAAAATTGTATTCTTAGATTAGTCACGTTTTGATTTTACACAATCTTTCATAGCAAACAATATATTATATAATTAATTTTATGTCTTGAGAACATTAACTCTATGTCAAATTAAATGCATAACAAATCAAATACTATTTCGAATATAAGTTTATCTTTTGATAATTTTAAATTTTTTGTCGACGCAGAAATATTTGTCTCAAAATTGTTTTTATCTTATTATGTTATTTATAATGATTTAAAAAAGAAAGGAATGAAAACAAACCTGAAGCCATTTGCATACCGCATGTTTGTACATCGTGTGGAAAATGATGCAGATCCATATCACATATTAGCTTGACTAAAGCTCTAGAAAATTATTAAAAACTGTTAGATATTGACTTGTTTATCCATTCAAAAAAATGAAGTGCACGCAAAATACATAATAATGGGAAAAGTCACGGTTATAGTGAATGCTTCATAATAGGTGAGCGCAAATTATGTTTTTTTTTTAAATTTTTATCGAAGTTTATGAGATCGAATATGCGTTTTCCCTTAGTCTAGCTATCGATTTTGTGAACAACAAGGACAAGAGCTGCTGTGACTCAGGGAACAGAGCGTTCCCCTCCTAAGGAGGTGAACCGCCTTCGAAACCCAGCGATGGCTGGTCGATACAAATTCCGCATCCAGCTCGCACCGTGCTGAAGGAAAATATCCTCTTTGGTATACATATTATGGACTAGAGTCCTCTTACAGTTAGGTGGCAAGTTTTCGTATCTTTCCTCTTCACGTATTGCAAATGCGGGTTTGTTCAATGTAAAAGTCCTTCACGAAAGCAAACTTCTTCCAATACTCGATCCAGGAATTCACTTGTCTTCTGGATAAACTACGGAGTCAAACATTGGTAATCGTAAACCCGGCTGTTCAAGGACGGTTATAGAATTATAAAACAGCAAGGACAGTATTTCTTTTTACGATAATAGATAATCCTGATCCTTAGAAATTTTATACGGTGAAGGCAGAAATTGTTTTAACCATCGGTATTCAGGCTTGATCATTGCAACTCCATTAATCTACAAGCCACTACCAACATAACTAAACAAATTCATCAGTTACGTTACATTACACACTAAATTTCGATATTAAAAGGCCTTTTTTTCCGATAAAACTAAACTTTCGAAGTTTAGGAGAAAGGGATGAAAAAAAAATTCTTCATATGCTTTAAATCCCTTTCATTTAACTTTCACAAATAAACTGATGATGGATATTTACTCTATTTCGCAGTATCTATTGAAACATGTAAAATGCAAGACCGTAATCCAATCACAATTCAAAATATTAAGCGTAATCAACAAATTTTGAAAGATATTTAAATAGTTAGCAGCTTTTAGATGTTTAATAAGTATCTTTATTTTCATGCAATTAACGCTAAAGGAAATTTCTAGCGTTATCCCTTGCGCTTTTTCATCAAATTAAGCTGCAATAAGAATAGCTTTTAAAAAAATTTAAAAACTGAGGAACGTGTAGTTTTAAATTATTTAATCAAAACCACAAATCGAATAATTTTATTGCTTTAAAGTTTTGAGGAAAAACTCATAGGAGATCTTTAAAAATATCAAGAGCTATTTCTCTTAATCTAATTAAGATATCTGTTAATTTTCTCCCTTTCTTTAAAAAAAATGTGTTGCTTAATAATACCACATTATCAAAACACAAATTAAAAACTTAATCTAAAATCCAAGATGGCGAGGATAGAGGTCGCTATAAAAAACGTGTTCTCGTTACATTGACAACAAAAGAATAAGAAAAAATACACTTAGGGATTTAATTTATTTCGTATTTTTATGTTTTGAAGAGCATTATTTTTATAGCATATTTAGGATATCGCTGCATGAAAAAAAGAAATTCGTCATTTCTTTTTTAGGTGCATTGTGCCTTAATATGCCAAGTTTAGATGTTAAGTATCATTAGCAGTCTTGGAATAGCAAATTTGATTTTTATTTTGTAAAGAATGGTATTGTGACTTTATTATAAAATTATTTAATTTAATAACAATATTTATTAAATAGTAAAAATGCGAACATTAATAATTTCAAATGTTTTCATTGACTTTATTATTACAATAACAAAATCAAATTATCCTGGAATTTTTAAAAAAATAAATTGAAAAGCTTTAATAATTTTAAACAAGTTGAACCACATTTTTTCAAGCAAATATCCTTTTCTATGAATTGAATTTGTCCAGATATAATCAGAAATATTTACTAGGCGTAGCAGGTATTTATTTAAAGGGCGTTGCCTGCCTCTAACAGAAGCAATATTGAATTTGCGACAGTATAATATTTTAAACAGCCTGATACGCAACAATTACACTATTGATCTAGTTTAGCCTTGACACGATAATCAGTTTAACTTTTAATCCGGCAAAAAATTAATTTAGGGTAAAAATTAGCAAAATGTCTTTATTCAAAATTTTATTATTACTGAACTTCCATTTTTTTACGAATTAATACTCTCGTAAAATGTTGTGAAATGAATTGCTTGGTAAAATAAATTAATAAAATGTTACTAAAAAAAAAGCATTAATACAATTTTTCTGGAATTATTGAGAGTGATTTTACAATTTAATTAAAATTATTAAGAATTGTACATTTTTTTAAAAAATTGTAGAATTGTTGCGATTTATTGAGATAATAACCATAGAATTATTAAAAATTAATAATGGTATTCAAGTTTACTTTTCAGATTTGTATATTTTTTTAAACTAGAGGGCTCCGCCCCCTGCTCGCTGACGCTCGCCAACCCCCGGAGAATTGCTTCGCAATTCTTGCTTGGTTTGCTTCGCAAAACCAAGAATGCTTTGATTTCATATATTTCAATATTAAACTGAATATTAACTGTTATCATCGAAAAGAATTAATTTTCTTAAATGCAGAATAAGCAGTGTGTCAATATCAATGTCACTTTTTTCGTTGACTACAGTTCCTTCTATGTCCTATTTGTTCTCTAAATGAGCCAAAATTGCCAGAAATTAACATCAATGTGCAGATATAATCTTAATATGAAACTTGTTTCATATTAAGATTATATCTGCACATTGATGCAGATATAATGTTCTTGTCTATAATATTTTTCAATAAGCAATATTGTTAAGAACAGGGTAATTTTTAAAAAAATATTTTAATAATATTCAGCAAAATGACTATAAATGAAAACATTAATTTTGCGGGAATTAAAATAAACAATGCACCAATAGCATTTTCTTTACGCTAAATACATTTATAAATTTGACATTATATATATATGTTATAATATTTCTCTATGTACAATATTGTTAATGACAGGATCATCTTTAATAAATATTTTAATGTTCTCCTTCGTTGTGCATCTTGACAATGCCACATATAATTGACCATGAGAAAAAATAGGCCGTTCAATATATAGCCCAACTTTATCGAAGGTTTGGCCCTGGGCCTTATTAATTGTTAAGGCATAAGCTAATCTAACAGGAAATTGTCGTCGATAAAGCACAAATGGTAAGGAAGAATTACTTGATAATGTATTTAATTCTATTCTTGGAAGATTGACAATACTACCATTTTTATTACCAGTAGCAATTTGGCAAGTCAATACTCTTTTCCCTATTTTAAGAACAGTCAATCGAGTTCCATTGCAAAGGCCATCAACAATAGATATGTTCCTGATCAGCATTACAATGCATCCAACTTTTAATTTGAGCTGATGAGGTGGCAGTCCCGGGAGATTTATGGAGTTTAAATATTCAATAGAATACCTTAAAGTAGCTTCTTCTTCTCTCCCGTCTGATTTATCTACTCCATATAGTGTGGCCTTATCAATACTATAACTTATAACCTCTTCACCTGGCACACGTGATAAAATATTTTCATTAACTTTGTTAACTTCATCATTTTGCGGTGATAATATGATGTGATTAATGAAGTTAGTATTAAGACAATCGATTTTTTCAAAAAACCAAGAAATGATATCTTTACAATAAAGATCAGGAGTGCTTGCATCAAGATGTAAAAGTTCTCCATTGCCAATTGTCAACAACCAATTGGCAAATTCTTGGTTACCAGCTTTAACTCTCATATTAATTGTCAAATGGAGGATTTCAAAAAATGGCCAAAGAAAAGAGTATTTTATAGTTTCATTAATAACCTGCATATGTGTAGCTTTTTTAACGACAGGTAACACTTGTCGAAAATCTCCACCTAAAATGATTATCTTACCACCAAATGGTATCTCATTAGCTAGAAGATCACGAAAAGTTCTATCGATCATTTCTATTGCTTTTCTGGGAATCATACTTGCTTCGTCCCATATAATAACGTCAACATTTTTTAAGCGAATCTTATCACATTTTTTTAAAATACAAATCCCATCGTCACTTAGATCAATAGGCAGATTAAAAAATCTGTGTGAAGTAGTTCCAGATGGAAGTAACATTGACGCAATGCCAGTCCAAGCTACACAAGCAACTTTCATGCTCTTTGACACAAAATAATGATATAATCCTTTATATAGGAAGGTTTTGCCAGTTCCTCCTGGACCATCGATAAAAAACAAAGTTTGCTGATTTGATGATTCATCGGAGACAGACTTTATTATTCTTTGAAAAATGAACAGTTGATCTTCGTTAAACTTAGCATTTATCAGAGTAAACTTTTCAACTGATTCGTTTATATCCATAGCATAAACCAGTTCTTCATATAATGGGGGCTCGGGTAATCCAAAGTCCTTACAACTTCTATTTTCAGAATTCAACAACTGTTCAATGTGTATTAAAGCATCGTTGGCATCGGCATCTTTATCAATCATTTGTTCATGAAAAATATTGTATAATTTTACTGCATCTGATGGCTCATCACATATTAAATAGTACACGAAAAAGTGCCTTAATTGCTTAGGCATCATATTAGCTGCTGCCTCTTCCATAACTGCTGTAGATTCTTCACAGCATTCAGTTAAACCCATAGCAATTGCTGATTCTCTGAATGTTTTATACATCGTACCTTCAAATGTTCGCAGATCTTCATAGCTGAAAGCTCCAGGAACTCTACATAAAATGAGTTTCAAGAAAAACCTCTCAGAGTCTCTAGGAGAAACATTCATTAAACGTCCAACGACATGGACATTATTTTTTCTTGGCATCCATTTTTTCAATTTGTAATTCCAAGAGTACTTTTCTGGTATATTACCGTACAAAGTAATACGTGCAGTTGGATCTTCTTTATTCAAATTAAACCACGCTAATAACATGGTAAGGGATGCTTTTTTATTTGAAACTGCAGCAGACTCACAACCTTCCTCAAATCTGATGTGTTGCTGGCCAGGAAGATGCACTTGAAGCCTAACAACAGTGTGACTTCTATTATGCAGTGGAATTTCGTTTAATCGCCATGCAGCTTCCATTGGCCCAATATAGCGGCTATCTATATAGCTTGCAATTTCATTGTCCTCTTGAACAATAGCAATTCTGGCTCTATCATGGCCTTTATGAATATATTTATGTATATATTTAATAGCCATCACTGAGGAGCAATATTCAACATTTATATGGCAATTAAATTTGAGTAAAAGATACGGATTATGAGGTACAACCATGCGATTATCTACATACACAGTGGTGCCTTTTATTTTAGCAGGATATTGGTATAATTTATTGATGTTATTTCTTCTCCGATATCTTGGAAAACCATCACCTGTCATATCTGTTTCATTGATAAATTCTTTAGGAAATCCTTTTGAGCATTCTTTTTTTTCTTCATTCCAGCAAATAAGGCCTGCAATATGAGGTCCATGCATCATGTGTTTTAGTTGATGAGAGCGAAGATAGTTATCATCAGAAAGCTCAGCAGTTATAAATCTGTCAACATCTTCAGGCTTTAACAACTTACAGTCTGTTCGGAGTGAAGCAAGAATATGAACATGTGGGAGCCCTCTTTTTTGAAATTCTATCGTATAAACGTATGCCACAATAGGGCCTAAAACATGTTTTTTTGTTAAGTCATGAATTAATTCATCCACTTTAGCTTGGAAAATCTTTGTGACGATTATTGAAATGTCATTTACAGTAGTACCTTTAATGAAATGATCTTTTAAAGTTTCAGTAATTTCTGGCCACTGCGGATTACATGTCATCGTAATAAAAAAATCAGGCCTTCCAACCTTCCGACAAATAGCAATTGCATCTTGATACAGTTGTTGCATACTTCGAGGTGACCCAATATACGTAGCTGGTAGTATAACAGCTGTGCCCAACCTTACTCTGTCAGTTTCATTTAAAGAATTCCTTTCAACATGGTCAATTAACCCTTGATAGCATTCAGTGCGCAGGGTTCCTTGATTGTTTCTAATGAAATCTAATCGCTGACTTTCAACCAACAAATAGCAATTTATCACATACTGCTGAGATAATTTTCCAGCATGCAATAACGGGTTAAAAGGACCATTAGGTCGTAAGGCTAACCTATGCCCATAATATTGAATTGGACTTATTTGTTTTCCTTTTTGCGAAGGCATTTGATAAGTCCATCCTAAATCGCCTTTAGGAAAAAGTAAAGGAAAGACCATAGGATCAGCATGTTGAGATCTTTGGTTTATTATACTCGTTTCTCTTATTTCTTGTTTAGGATATACAGTTAAATCGCATACAGGAACAACACCATCTTTGGAAACAATAATGGCAGCTAATTCAGAAGAAGTAGGTTTATTGTATCTTCTTTTATCATCGAATATAAATCTTTGAAATTGTAAAACAAATTCACTATCATGAATAGTTAAATCTCTGAGCATCCGATATTTCTGTGCATATGGATTGACTTCCCTTAATAATTTTTCAATATGCCTTGTCAACTGAAGATTGTCTAAATTCATGCGTAGTTTAATAGCCTCCTCAACACTGTCATAAATATATATTTGTCCATTCCTTGGAGCATTGGTTGCTGAATTTAGGGATGTTGTCGCATGGTGATATACTTGTCCTTGAATTTTTATCAACGGTGGACCTCTGCTTTCATCTTGAAGAAATTTAGCACTAAAAGTGGCAAACGCAAATGATGAATTGTATACACGGATATTTTGCCTAAATAATTTTGCTTCTTGCTCATCAGAAAGAAGTAAGTTTTTCAAAAATAAAGGATATTCATGCAGCGGAGGTATATGTATGTTATCATTATGGCAGCAAGAATTAACAGAGCGCCCTTTTGCAGAAGCAAATCTCAAAGCTCCACAATAACTGCATTTTGAAAACATTTTGCCAAGACTATGTTTTGCCACTTTGATAGGTAACAATTTCGATAAATCACCAGCAAACTCATGTTGTTTTGATTTTAAAATAGGTGGATTAGGATTTTGGTCCATATCATTGTCAACATTGCGAAAGCGAATTGGTACAGTGTGCATTCCAACCACATTTTCTGTATTTACAGGTCTGGTTTGATGTGGGCAAATGAAAGTCGATGTTGTTGCGACTGTGTAGCAATTACACACATTCTCTTTTAGCTCAACCTTTGTTAGTTTAACTTTTTTTTTGTTAGTTGAATCATCATTAGGTTGTATAAGCAAAAGAGCATTATTTTCTTCTATACTATGAAGTTTACGTTTTTCCCGCTTTCGATTAGCTTTCGCATTGAGTTGCGACTTTTTAGTAATGTTAGGTCTTTTCTTTTTAGGCATTACTTGTAAATAAACAAATCGAATTAAGATTTAAAACCAGATTAAACTTACGAATTAACGTTTTAGAAAACAAATAATCAGATTAATCAATATATCAATACGAAATAAGTTGAGATGTTGTAAAACTGAAGAATGAAATTCTAACTATTTTGTGATTGGTTGCATCTCTGAAAAAGAAAATTCAGACTTGTAAATCGCTTTTTTAAGCTTGCCGTTTTCAGACATGTGATTGGCTGTTGTGAACGGCGGTTATTCTTCATTATTAACTGCAAAATCGTGCTTTAAAACTAAAATAAATAAAAATTTAAAATTATGTAAAAGATTTGAATGCCCTAAATGTCTTCCCTGAAAGATTCTGAATGAATTGATTCCTTAATCTTAGATTTTCATCACGTAGTTAAAAAGTTTTTCAGGGGACAAAATTAACTGCAAAAACTTTTTTTTAGAATAGAGAGATGTGTGATACGATAGTTTGGAAAAAGATTAGCAAATGAATGGCTTAAATACCGTTTACTTCGACTTTCACTACTACAATTTATTTTTAATCAGAAATATTACATACAATACGGTAATTTTAAAAGAAAGTTTTTCTTTTTGTATACTCAAAAGTCAGTAAAGAGTCTTAAGATGCCTCTACCCTCGCCATTTTTGATTTAAAAAATGTTTTCTTGATCTATCTTTAAGTAACGTTTCCTATCTTTATTTAACTCCTTTTTCATGATAGAGTATTGTTAGACAACACAATATCTTTTTTTTCTTAAAAAAAAGTGGAAAATACAGAGCTCTCTGCAAAAAATTAGGAGAAATAGAGTTTGATAATTTTTAGAATTTTTCCATCAAATTTTAAGGCAATAAAATAATGCGATTTGTGGTTGTGAAAAAGAAATTTAAAACTGCATGCCTCTAAGTTTTAAGATTTTTTTGAGACCTAATTTTATTACATTTAAACTGATGAAAACCGATTTCTATGACTATAAAAAATTCTTTGAAAGTTAAGTGCATAAAAACAAAGATACTTCTTAGAAATCTAAAAACTGACAACTTTGTACTACGTATCAAAAATTATTGGTTACAAAATCGCATTGGCATAAATTTGCCTGAAAAAATTAATAGAGATTCTATAATACTGATCGCTTTACATCTCAAATTGTGATTGAGTGGCGGCTTTGCATTTTACATGTGTCTAAACATTTTGCCAAATAGAGTGACTATCCATCATCAGTTTATTTGTGAAAATTAAATAAAGATGATCGAACAAATTTCTAAAATTTTACTTCCCCGACTTCATCCTTCAGACAGTTTTGTTCGGTCGGGAGAGGAAGTGTCTCTTAAGCAACAAACACAATAACATTTTTAAAAAGTTTTGTTTCTCTGTGTTCAGCCCTTATCCCATTCAATCAGTAAATCTGAGTTTCATGAATAAATAAATAAATAACCACATTCATATATAAAATCAGCAATATCAATGATTTTTTTTAAAAAATATGGACATGAAACGAACCTGCAGCTGAAAAAAATTTGATTTTGATCTGAAAGCCAATAAAAGCTACTGGGAGTAATGATGTTGTTGATTTTTCCATCGATTGCATTAACAAAATACAAATTAGGATTCCAAATTTTTTTTCTCCATTCTGTATCCAGTATTTGATATTTCTTTTCAGACCAATGAGGATAAGTTAGGCGCATGTCTAACCAATTCTGCCACAGATCTAGAGACACTGTAAAAGACTAAAACAATTCTTTGTAGTTTTATATTTTATATTATTCACTACGTATCACCAAAAATAATCCCCAGTTTTAACTTTTATTTAAAGTGAAGCACATACATTTCAATTTTTTCTGACTATAGAAAGCCAAAATATTTTTAATAATGTATAACATTAGGTAATTCTTTGTCATTGTTGAATTACTAGACAGTTGCGCACACTATGAAACAGCCTCCGTAAAATCTATTTTTACTGTAGCATTTTATAAAGTAATTTTAACAGTAGCATTTATTTAATTACAGAGATTTTGAAGTGAATATTACTATAAAAATACTTTGTATAAGATTTGTTTTGTAAAAGTAGAAGGTAAGGATGAATTTTACGATATGTTGTTGTTTCTAATCCCCAAGATATCCATCCCAACTAGACCAAATCTATAAGTCTAAAAATGTCCAGAAAGTCTAAAAACAGATGAGGTTTTGAGAAAACCTCGTCGATCTTAAAATCGATACAGTTTAGAATATGCTCGGGTGAAACTTGAGCAGTCCTACATTTAGTGCAAAGTCCATAAGTCTTTCGCCTCTGAACATGCAAGAGACACCTCAAGTGACCACTTGCAAAGCGAGAGAAACAAGTCTGCTGGCTTCTAGGTCCCTCAAAGGGCAAGGCACCTCCAAGACGTTTTCTGAAATACCAACTATACTGAGGAGGAACCCTCCAGAGGTCCATAAACATTCTTTTGCACTCTGCAAAGACCTCATTGAAAGTGGAAGGTATATCTGGCTGTAAAGGTTCCAAAGAAGCATCTTTAGCCAGTGAGTCCGTCATCTCGTTACCTTTGATTCCAACGTGTGATGGAATCCATTGGAAGTGTACCCTAAAGTCCACTGATAGCCTGAGGATTTTACGATATAAAGTACAGAAACGTTTGAGTGTCGGTTCTTTTTACCGTAATTTGATGCGGAATTTCTTACAGAGCACATTCTCATGAAAATGCCGTGTTTACTTATTTTCACTATAATTCTGAGCCTTTTTTAGATGAAAAATTCTGAACGAAATGTAATAAAATAATTTTCACGACATTATCGTTACATTCTCTACACGAAAAATAATATATGTAATAGAAGAGAGAAAGGAAGGAAAAATATAAGAATTTATGATGAAATCTATTAACTAGGGTTGGAGATCCCTAATATACCTAAATAAAAATATAAAAGGAATTAAAAGATAAAATCCAGGGTATTGAAGTATGAAATTTTATTATTGATAAATTTATATTTAGTTTCCCATAATTGTTGTTGTTTTCTCTGAAATTTGAAATTATTACCAAGTTGATACTTTAAAACAAAATATTCAGTTATGTTATAATGAGATGCACTTTGTACGATAATGCTCTTAACTCTACTTCCCCCGTTTTCTTCCTTAGAAGTTAACTGTTTATTTCTTTTAAAAAAATTCCTATGTGTGTCGCAAATTTTTAATGACATGCATTGTTCTGTGATTTTTAATTAAAAACATATTTAAGTCTAACGTAACGAGTACATTTGAAAAAAGATTCTTTTTGTGATTTTTTTATTAATTCTTCAAACACAGTTAGTTTTATTTTAATATCAAGAAAATTGTCGGCATCCATATAAAGCTTTTTATTTTTATCCTTAACAGTAAAGATGATGTTTTTTATTTTAAAAACGTTTAATAAGTAACAAATATTTTTTACCTTCAAAAGGAAAAAAAACTTTCACGTACTTTGCTTTTATATATGATATTAAAAGCTGCGTGTCTTAGCCGGCAAACTTACATTATATTGCAATTCAAATAATGCATTCATAGTAATTTGAATTGAATTCCGAAAATGCAAAAAAATAAATAAATAAACAATCGTTTACAAAAGCCAATTTAAATAGCTTATTTATCTCAATTTATCTATCCTGAAAAAGTACTGGCTTGTGAAAGTCAAAACAACGACTATCAATTATTTGTTGCACATGCTATTTTCCCACTGTTTGTTTACTTTCTTGTGAGGCGCTTTTTAAATTCGTCCAATATCAGACTAGTTAGAAATGCACATTAAAGTATACTTAGGGAACAAAATATTCACTGAAGCAGTTGTATTTTGTTGCTTTAAAGAATACTACGAAAGTTATTTATGTTAATTAAATGGTAATTAAAACTAACTAGTGTTGAATGAATGTTTATTGAAATGATAATTAAATGTTAATTAATACTAACTAGTGTTAAATTAATGTTAATTAAAATGCTAATTAAATATTTGAATTCAAAGTTATTTTACGAAAGTCATGAAGTTATTATTTTTTTAATATTTGATAAATAAAAATTGTCAAAAAAATCAGTTTTTAAATTTCAAATTTTCGTAGTTTAATTATTTCTTCTTTTTTGTTTTCGTTTGTTTTAATCTTTGATATCTCTGGAAAATGATAGGGAGAAAAATCGTTTAATAATAACATAGTTTTTTTTGCCATCCTTTACAATTTTAATCGAAAACATTATTTAAGGACAGAAATATATTAGATTTCCAGCTTATATTTTTTTCTCGTCAGAAATAAAAAAAAATAACTTGACCATTAAACTTTTTTTTCACATTTTATCCCTCTTCATAATTTTATAATGTTACAAAAAAAGGAAACATGCATGTTTGTGATACTGCACGGAAAAACGAGAATCTATTTTTTTTCCCGCTTCTAAAGTTAAAACACAGTCATCTTCACCGTAAAGAACGAAGACATAGATACGCTATCAATAAGCTGAGGCTGATAAAACTTTTAATAAAAATATTTAATATCGAAACTTTTAGCCTAGCCACAATAATTATCTTAAACAACACAATACATGAAACAAAACAATACATGTAGAATATAGGAGGGCTAGAGTGGGCAATCTTTACAAATTTGTCAAAAACCAGGCTTAGTATTACTTTTAACTCATGAAATATTTTTTAAAAAAAAATTTCCACATTCACCTGCATTTTTGTTTACATCAGGAATTTTTTAGAAAGCTGTGTGTTTCGTTTTTCCATATCTGTTTTCAAAAAAAGGTTGTTATTAAACAAACACTTGTTCCATTATACGGGACTAGTTTGTAAAAGCTATGGGGCTAGTGTGGGCAAATTTGATAAAGTAAATTAGTCTTTTATTACACTCAGAAAGGTAGTACATCTAAAGTAAAAATGAAATATTTATCAATTTTAGCCAGATTGAATATAGACATATTAGAGTTAAAATACTAATTTGTAATGGAGCATTTCACTATGTTAAGAAAGATATTTTAAACGTAAAT